AAAGCTGATGCTTCAATAAAGCAGGAATAGCTTGAGAAGTCCCATTCATTGAAAGAAAGGGAGAACTCTTATCCCATTGAAGCCCGGCTCCTGAATGCCCTCCTCGGTCAAAGACTGGGGTTAATATACCCCTGGCCACGCCCACATACCTTCCCATGAGGCCCGAGGGAAAGGCAGGAGCCAAATACCACAGAGTATAAAAGCTCTGGGAGGAGTAGCACTGAGTTTTTCAAGTTCAGGATGGGTAAAGGCCCTGATGCAGGAAAACACTGCTAATGAGGATAAACAGACCATCTCTCTTTCTGCAGCTATACCCACCAAAACAGCAGAGACCAGGTAAGAAACTAAACTTGTCTGTTGGGCAGAGGGAGAAAAAGATAAACAACCTAAAAATGCAGACAAAAAATTAACTTATCAAAGAGGATGAAACGTTAAGGTGGTGGGCCACCCTGACACTCCGTAGGCAGCAAGAGTTTCTGGTCCTGGCATCTTTTCTCTGAGAAAAAGCTTCAGTCTGGAGGCTGACATGGCAAATTTCACTGCAGGGCTCCTGGAAATGAACAAGAACCCTTTTCCCCAGGGAAAGAAAGCCCTCAGCCTAATGGTCTCAGACGGAGGTGAAAACAAATCCAGGCACTGCACAGGCAGCAAGAGCTTCCAACCTTAGCAGCTTTTATCTGACAAAAAGCTTCAGCTATGTTCAATCTGGGGACTGACATGACCAATTTCACTGCACGGCTCCTGGAAGCGAATGAGAACCCTTTCCCCCTTTGATAATGAACTAATTAACTTTTCCACCACACCTCAATTACCTACCAATTAACTAATGCTCTTTTTACAAGGCATGCTAATTATTCATTAATGACCTAATTCAGTAATTAATTTCTTGCACTGCACCCTAATGAGTTACTAATGAGTTACAGCAAGATCTTTCTGTCCTATCACCTTTGGTTTCGGAGAAATCTTCATCCATGTTCAATTTGGAGAGGAGGATCAGGTATTTGAGGCAGGACTCTTGCAAGCAACAGACAGCCGTATCCCCAAGGAAACAAAGCCCTGACCCTCAGGGTTTCAGGTGCAGATAGTGTGCAACTCGATGGACAACAAGAGTTTTCTGTCCTGGCACCTTTTTTCTGAGAGGAAGCTTTGTCCATGTTCAATTTTGGGAGTCGGACTAGCAATTTCACTGCAAGGCTCCTGCAAATGAATTACAGCCCTTTTCCCCAGGAAAGACAGCTTGTAGCCTTGAAATTTTAGGGGCAGTTGGTGGGCCAGGCTGGACACTCCATGGGCAGCAAGAGCTCTCTGTGGTGGCACCTTTGGTCCAAGAGGAATACTCATTCATGTTCAATTTCAGGACTCAGA